ATAAACAAATTTGCAGATTTGATTTTTTAAAATCTGTATCATTTAAATTTTTACCAGCCAGTATATAATTATTAACATTATTTTATGATACATAACTATTATTATTTTTAAAAAAAATTGTTTTATTGTACATAACTATTATTATTTTTAAAAAAAATTGTTTTATAATCTGTAATATTAAAATCTGTATCATTTAAATTTTTACCAGCCAGCAGTGGCGTAACTGAGAATGTTTAATGGGGGGGATCAAAATAAATTTGTAGGGTAAACTTGTGGGGGCCTTTGACCCCACGGCCCACACCCCCTTATCTATATTTTGTATAATTTAATAACTCAACACATCTAAATATAATCATTCTATATTACATAACATTATACATTTACAAATATATTTTAATATTTTAATAAACTCATTTAAATGTTTTATAATAATTAATATGACATAACTAATAGTTATTGAATAAACTGCAGTGACTGCAATTATATTTTTAATAGGTACTTTTTTTAACTGGTGTTAATTTATATTTGCATAATTTTAGCGCGAGTTGTAATGCTAATTATTATAATAAGTTGAATACGTCATACATAATATTTAAACATTTAATTCCGGGTCTAATAATGTTTAGTATTTTAAATTGTAATACTTACGTCAGGCCCAGGCTTCTTTTAAAAAAAATTCAATAAAGTACTGCTAGTTGCTGGTAATTTTCTTTTTTTTTGCTCCATTTTGCTTTTAGCTTATAAAAACGTAACTGACACAGTGACACTGTGAATATGCGAGAATGACACGGTGTGTGGTGTGTCGGTGTGTATTTAATACCTACTGTGTAGTGTTTACTGTTTAGTGTTTATACGTAATCGCAATAATCAATGTAGATACTTTGTGTCGCCGCGCGTTCTTAGTACCTACTATCTATGGCTATTATTCGTTCTACGAAATGTAAATCTTAGTTACATTTTTATTATTATATTATGTTTATGGAATGGTGGTTTTTCAAATTATCGGATTACTTACCATCTATAATCTATTCAAAATTAGGTATAGTGTGTGGCAAGGCACCCAATGTTTATTAATAAATAAGAATTAAAATGAATCAGACCATTTATTTTGAAATCATGCTTATCGTTAACAGGTAAATATTTATGTACCTACACAACTTCTAAACTTTTTTTTTTTTTTAGTTTCGTAATAATTTATAAGTTTTTATTTGAACTATTTGTAGGTATAAGACAATATATAAATACAGCTCATGGGGGGGATCTATCCCCCATATCCCCCCCGTAATTACGCCCCTGCCAGCCAGTATATAATTATTAACATTATTTTATGATCCATAACTATTATTATTTTAAAAAAAAATTAGTTTAAGCAAACACACATTTTTGGGAGACTACACAGCCAACCCAACCTGCACGTGGTGTCTCCTGGGTAACGCTAATAGGCTGAAGGGACTCAACTCGAATAACCATACAATATCGGTCGGACTCAACTCCGATAACCCAAAAATATTTGCGGGACTCAATTCAACGTCAGCCCACTGAACACCGTACATATGCCTACCTAGTTGGCTTAAGTTTTTCTAAATGTTTAAACAGTATATTAGGTATTAATATAAAAACTGGAATATAAATGTAAGTTCATAATACTATGAATGGAATATTTGATTTCAAAAGTCTAGATTATAATTAATATTATGTTTTATAAACAGGTATAGTTAAATTAATAAATTCATAAGAAAACAAAATAAATACTAATTATTGTATTATATTATTAGATTCTGAGTGGAAAGATGAATGTGTTTTTTTTTTATTTAAGGTCCAAGGTCTAAGGTCTAACACGATAATATAATGTCTGATCAATAAAAGGTTTATATCAATCTTGGTTATCAATCGTTATATTATGCGCATTAACTTAAATAATGGTCTCAAACTCAAATCACCAACGGCTCATAATATTATATTTATACGCCGAAGGATCGCGGGCAAAACACCTATTTTTTTTAAAACCTTTTTTACTTTTAAAAAATAGTTGTTTCTTTTCCGAACATAGTATTTTGCTTTCGCCATAATTACAACTGCAGGTTTTGATGCACGATAGCAATCTGATAGTATATGACTCAGTGGCGTATATAGGGGGAGGGGTTAGTAAAAAAAAATATATTTAATTAATATCGTTTTATGAAAAGTATAATTTAAGTTGTACCTGAGTTTTTTTTTTTTATTTAATCAGAAATATATTTGACAGAATAACATATAAAATAAAACATTAAAATTGATTTATCTATCTCCTGTAAGCTTATGCTTGTTAAAAACTATACTTGGCCAGCATGGATCATATAAATAATTAATAATTAAATTTCTGTATTTGTAATTTTTTGTTTAAATTTGGAATACATATTAATGTTTTCTGTTATTTTAAAAAAACTAAAATTATATATTGTTTCACTATTCATCAATATAACGGTTAATGTTATATTGTTGTTTCTTTTATAATCTCTCAAAGTGGTTTTTCAATAGCCAATAATGTTAACATTATTTAGGTACCTATTTTAAATGGCTTTTCAGAAGAACAACTTACCTACCTACCTTTAACCTTTATATTTTTCATATATCATATTTTTATTGTCTATTAATGTTGTTGGAAAAAATAACTATTATTATTATAACTATTGGTATAGGTACCTATAAGAACAAGAGATTACGTAAGAACCTATAGTCTTAAGACATATTATTGTTAATTATTCAACTGTGAATTTAGTATAATCTGCGTACTGCATATTGTACAATAACACGAAACTACGCTACTTCCACCTGTGTGTTAACAAAACACAATAAATCAAAATTTAAAATATTAATATTTTAAAAGGCTAAAAGAGGCTAATATTAATAATATAAAATTAACACAGTATATTTAAATAGGTAAACATAAAAAATACATTTAATATAAGATATTATTTTTAACATTTATTTAAATTTTGACATTTAAAAATAATTAACTTAAACAAAAATCTTAATTTGAATAAATGAAATATAAATTGTGTAAACATAAACATTTTTTTTTATAAATAATTTATAACCACAATTATTGTTTACCAGTGATTGTGGTAAATATGAAATATGTCTGTATAACATTAAATTATCATACATATTTACAACAGATTTCTTAACTAGGTAAATACTTAATGTATTATAATTATATAATTAATATAATAATAACTAGGTAAATACCTAGTAGCAATTCAACATCCAAAAACATTATTTTATTATTTTATTTTTTTCCATTTTTTTTATCAAGTGCCGAGGTCATAAAAAAAATATGTTCTTACCTAAATAATATCAATATAAATTGTAAAAATTGTAACTTTACATTAAATTTGAACAGCCTGGGTACAAAACATATAGAAATCAAATATACATATTACTATATTAGGTATATCAAATTTTATACTTGGTTATTGATACCACAGACTTCAATGGGCTTGTATGTATTCTGACAAAAAATGTCCATGATAAAAGTATAATAATATAAATTTATGATACTTGTACACAAGACAGTGATATAGATAGGTAAATACTTGGGGAAATAAAATGCAGCGTGAAATTGTATTATTATTATATTATTATATTAGGTAGGTACTAAAAATAGACAATACTAGCTCACAACAGTTATATAACTATCAATATTACCTTATAATAATAATAATATTAATAGAAGTACTTGTATAATTTTGTAAATGTAATCATATTTTTATTTTTTTAAGAATTAAATTATATTCATTTTTCATTTTTATTTTTTCACAATACATTTTTAAAAAATTGTAAGTACTTTTTTATAATAGGTATATTAATATAATTATATTAGTGTTACTCTGATAATATTATATACCTATCTGAGCACAAACATGTATTTATTAGATTCAATATAATTGTTATTTTGAAAAAGATTCCAACAGCCTTGGTGTACAAGTAATATTCTATGTTATTATGATTATTTTTCAAATAGAAACAAATTATCATATATATTTAGTAAGTATTTACATAAAAATATCTAATTACTAGACAGTAGGCCAATTTAAGTAGGTCAGTTTTTTAAAAAGTTAAAATTTAAGTTCCCAATACTTCAGTTTTTTCCTAAAAAAAATATATTTGTTAATATGTTTTATGCGTTATTTAAAATTTTGAAATTTTCGATTAGATATAACAATATTGTTCCTTTTTTTTTTTAATATTAGGTTAATATCCAGTATAAATGTCTAGGTATAAATTAGTATAACGCATTTACATCCCACGGCACTGAAAATGAAATAAAATATTATTAATATATGCACAGTATAGGTGCAATTTGAGGGGAGGCTTGAGGCAATGGGTAATTTATATATGCAACCAACAATAAATTGAAATTGACGTCACACGTAAGCATTTAATCGTATACAATGCAGTATGCATAGAAAGCAATGCACGTGTACGAACTCGGACGAAAATAAGTTCAAGTTGAGCATACTTTTTATTTCTTGTACTATGATATTATGCACTATAATAATTTATTATTATTATCTATAAAATGTTTAACTCAAGCTTTATACAATCATGTCTACATTTACAGCCAATTCATTAACTGAGTATTAATAAAGTATAGAGTAATAGAGTATTAATATTAATAAAAAAATAAAAAAATGGATAACACAATATTATATTGATGATAAATAATTAGATACCTATATACCTACATCTACTATTATAAGTGATCAATCACTATATTGTATGAATCAATAAAAATTATGGTCAGGAAGGCTAATAAGAATATTTTGACATACCTATAGTAAGTAGTAGTACAAATATGTTTTTTAAATACCTAAATCATAAGATATTGTAAGGTTAATTTAAAAAAAAACCATCGCTAGTTGTAATAAAGATTATGGAGTACCTATTTAGTACTTCAGTATAAGTGTATAAATATAATTATTATTTGAGAGATATTCAATGAAAAATAATATTAAATCTTATAATATACTTAGGTTATAATGGTCGTCATCGTCACTATCACGATGGTAAGAGGTGAGGTCTTTGTAGGCCTCGGAAGTCTGTTCTACGTCGTCGTCGTCGTTATCTTCTTCCTCATCGTCCAACTGAGGATTTCTTACAGTTATTGTAAGTACATTCATTTTGTGATGGTGGCCGGGTTTACTCGATTTACGGTTAACCGAATGGGATAATGGCCTCCGTGCCACTTTCACTGCATTATGCCGATGAAGCCTTTTGGGGATGGCGGAGTTTCCGTAGCAGAACGACCGTGGTGGCGTCGTTGAAGGTGACCTCGGAAATCTGTGGCGCCGTCTATGCATTTGGAGAAGTCGACTTTCCCGTCGGGGCATTCTGGGAGGCGGAATATTTTGGATGTTCGATGTTCGATTGTGTCGATCTGCGAACTGGCGGTTTTGTACGTGGTTACTAAAAATCAGAAGAAGGCGACCTCCGTTCCTCATTCTAATAAGGGTACCCTGTTGTGGACGATTTTGAGGCAAGTGTGTTATCGGTATGCTTACGGCAATCGGTGGCGGTCGCAGCACAGTTCCAAAAGGGCATGGCAGTTGGAATAGTGGTAGCTGATAGGCGGCAGCAGTGGGTCTAATGATGCCCAACGAGTTCCTAGGTAGTGGCAATAACAAGGGCACCTGCGGCTGTGGTGTCCACTGTCGCCAGACAAATTCATCCCTAGGAAAATTTCGACGGGCGCCTTCCTGGACATCGCCTTCGACTTCAACTTCGCCTTCTTCAACTTCGATTTCGCCATCTTCGATTTCTTCTTCTTCGAGCGAAAGCTCGTCGGAAATGTCGTCTTCATTTTGATTTGGGCGGTTCAAGTGACCCATTTTAATATAATATGTAATACGTTACGTTTATAGTATTACGTCTATAAATCCTCTAGATAGAACACGAAGTCGGTCTAGTATTCCCGGTAAACTCGATCTGTATAATTATAAGCACATTAAGTACATAAACAGATTTAATCATAGATAGTCAATGATAATATAGATTAAGGCGCTCTACACCTGCCTATATTGTCCCCGTCTTACAAATGTAAAAATACAAAGCAGAAATTGTTTTTGAGTAATATTGAGTACAATATTGTATCAAGTTCCAGGCCCTATAATAATACTACCTGATAAGAATTTAAAAATAAATTTAAGTTCAATAATAACCATTGATGTGCTCAATAGTTATTATATTCCTGTGTTCAAATTATATATACTATACCACTACCTATACCTATCAAAATCATACTGCTATTAGGGTTCGGATTAAGCATGGTAAAAAATATATGCGTGTTGTGGTGGTGAGAGGGAGGTAGGGTCCCTTATTGTGACGGGTTACGTCTTATAAATTATACTATAATAATTTGGTATCACGTGTGATGTGTTCATTAAATATAGAACATGAGATCGTTTCAATAGTATATCAGTATCGTAATCACTTTTAATATCCGCGATTATAAATTTTAAACGCTTATAAAATCTAAAAAAAATATATTAATACGTTTTGTTTCTCCTCAGAGTTACGAAAACATGGAACGGTCTATTCTAACGATATCTTAAAATAACACGTAAGAGATATAACACGAAGTATAATCACTGAAAACAAACATTATTAGGTATTAATGTATTATACAAAGTTCAATGAACCCAACCCATTACAGCTATCAGATATATATCTGTCAATGGCTATGTTTCAGAATTCCAAGATGTTTTTCTTTGACGTAATAACGAAATTGAGAAAATAATATTTAACTACTACATTATTTATTATAAAGTAAGGACACACAACAAATTCATCACAAAATAATTAAAATACGGTATAGTAATAAATAGTTAGTTTAGTAATATTTATACTATGGTAGGTAAGTATAATACTATTGTATACATATAGAAGATCAGTGGCGTATTTACGGGGGGGGGGGTCCCCGGGTCTCGACCCCCCCCCCAGAAAAAAATATAATATAATTATTACATCATAACTCGTATGTGTTTTTTTTATATTATAAACTTGTAGGTACCTAATATTTAGACCCCCCCCCCCACAAAAAATTTGAAAATACGCCACTGTTGAAGATATAATATTATCGTGAAATTGTATACATGTATAGGTAACGTAACAGCTAATCTGAAATAGGTATTTCTATTCGACTGGCAAAGTCACATCCTTATGGTGTACTTGCTTTGGTCTTTGTCAAATTAATTCATATCATAAATAATAGTAATAATAAAAAAAATAATAGAAGATTATAATTATTTAATTATGAAAATCGATGAACATTTCAAGATATTTTACAGAAAAAGCTGTCGATTATGCGTGTGCATCTATGCAAACGTAAATATTTGTGTGTATCATAACCCTGACAGTACCTACTAATGGTAATGATAATATAATGGCCCATTCAAAACAATCAAAATATGATTTTCGAGAAAATTAGACTAGCTAGGTTGTTGCAGTGAGCCCTTCATTATTCATAAACAATAATAGGTAGGTATATGTATAAAAAATTATTTCGGAGTCCTTAGTTGTTTTTTTTTTATTTGTTAATTAAACAGAGGTGAGACGAAAAGGGACAAATTTATAAAATAATAACAATATTAGTTACATTTTACAATATAGTACGTACAGCAGTGCGAAAAATGTTATGTTAATTTTATTTGACACGATCATATTATAGACATGTTTTTTATGTTATTTAATCAATAATAAAAAAAACCTACAGTCCCACGTAAATAATAGAAACACTGATGATATGATGTGAAATTTAAAAAAAACAAAACCTGTCATATGTAGGTAACTACTCTGCTATACATTAGATATCGAGTGTATCTCAGTCATTGAATAGGTCAATGTAATGAATGTGGAATGTGATGAATTTTAATCTGATTATAATTAATTAGGTAATAAATCATTGTGTATAGGTACGACAAAAAACTATTCTGAGCGGAAATGTACAAAACAAATGAACTTGTTTGGTAACCAATAACTAAACAATTACCTATTATAATTTTAAATATGTTCGTAATTTATTTTTTTATTTCCCTGAAAGCTTAAAAAGAATAGGTACTGGGTCTATAAAATACATCCAACTTATTACCAGACACATTTCTAAAATTTGTCACTCAGGAATTTTGTCTAGTAGAAAAAGTCTCTACAGACGAAAACCCCTCAGATTCTAAAAGCGTATGATACCCTTCGTCGCGTAATAATACTCGTTAATTCGAAAAAAACTGTAAATACATCAATGCTTGAGAAAAAGATAAATTTCGGAAATGTTCTAAAATGTTCTAAAAATGACAAAAAATAAAAAGCAAGACCAAGTACTATAATATATATTAACCACTATAATAGTAATAATAATAATATAAAAAATTGTACAAAGAATAAAATATTATATTGTATAGGTACTCACGTAGTGTTGTATGGATATGAAATTCTCTGTGCCGGAATGACGTCGTGCACTGGGCCAACTGTGAGCTTTCAAGCTTGGACGTCTTCTAAAATAATTTACCAAAAATCAAAAAACCGAACCAACGACTATATATTATAATAATATGTATATTATAACCACTATAATAGTAATAATAATAATATAAAAAATTGTACAAAGAATAAAATATTATTGTATACTCACGTAGGGATGTACGGTTATGAAATGCTCGGTCTGAATGCAAAGAACTGCAAAGGGTTCGGACGTTATGTCAAGTGAGTAGTAAGCGATCGGGTCTCCCTGCAAAAGACAACAGAATACGAAAGACTCGGTCGCCTTGGCACGGCGATTCGGGGTTCCTCTCCTCCCTACGCGACCGCCAGAGGGGGGGGGGACGGAAGAAGATGGGAGAAATCTTCACACTTCTGCGCACTATTAAATCGACGACACGAAACTGAAACGCCATCTGTACGCGAAGTCAACCTTCTGAGATTTTTATAATATTATATTATATTGGGCGTATAATATTATTTATAGTATTATACACAGCCAAAAGAAGCGTATGACTCCCTCCGATACACCAACCGACCTTGACGTATATAGGTAACTACGACTAGGGTATAATATATTATTACTTCGTGGTATACCTGATACAAGGATAAAATACCCACACACGAATACGCACGATCCTCGCATTGACATCGTCACTTGGGCTTCTAAAATATTTAAATATTTAAAATACCTACTCCAAAATATCATTATTGTTCACTGCGTCTATAAGGATCGCGAATAATATGATTTAGGTAGGTACCTAGATAGTCAGTAGCGTATCCAGAATTTTTTTTCGGGAGGGGTTATAATTTATTTTTGTGGAATTTTATCTTAAAATGATTTATTAATGATAACGTTGTTATAATTTAACAATTTTCGGGGGGGGGGGTTACAACCCCCTAACCCCTCCCTGGATACGCCACTGTAGATAGTATATAGGTACGATACTAACCGACGGTCTTATACCTAAGACTCGCCTACCTGCTGGCCATCGCCTATGTCGTGTTCAAAAATATTACTTTGATGGTGTGTGCCGTGTCGACAATAAATTCCAATGACCATTGGTCATACAGTTTTATTATTATTATAGCACAAACGCGACCACTTTAATGTATAAAATATATTATTATATCGACATACGGCGGCACGGCGCCATTATTATTATTTTCATCGTCGTAAAACAATGTTCGAAACTATTGGCTATTAGCTAATGACCCAACGGAGCGGTGACGTCTATAATAAAGGATATCTGGAATCTGGATGTGATTCATAGGTTAGCTATTTCAAGTAATTACGCGTGTCTCTTTTTCAATAACCCACTTAATAACCCACAATGTTATAGGATCTAAAACTACCCGAGTCAATAATAATTTTTAAAAGAATTTAACGCGCGCTTCAAAAATAATAAACGCACTACAGTTATTGTGTGTGGTAATTATAAATCATAACAAATAGGTAATTATAATAATCACGGTATCCGGAAACTGTCCGGCGGACAGTATAACCCACCGGCTGTTATCGGTGTGGTAGGACATTCCACCCCCCGCCCGAGATAAATTTTTCGATGAGGACATTTTCCCTCCGTTTTTTTATTTTTTATTACTTACCTTCGAATATAAAATTATTATTTTAAACACATATTTTTTAGCTTTTGTTCATTCATATTTATTTTTTTATTTTTGTAAAAACTATACGTTACCTAAAAAACTTTAATCTTAATTTCAATAAAATAATGTACTTCAATAAAAAAAGGTGATCTGCTGTACAGTAGGTTACAAGTGGGTCACTGTATAATGGATGGTATTAAATTTGAAATCAATGATATGATTTCATTGTATATAAGACAAACGATTCTGAGCGAAAACGGTTAGTCAGCTTATGATATTCCGAAGTATATTTTATGATACTAAGGTGAATAAAGTAATTTATATACAACCTATTTACGTGGAATCTTGTTTTAAATTTTAAATCATTAGCTATAAAAACTGAACGTTTTATAATTTATTGATTAGGTACAATGATTGATAATTTTCGAGATTTTGATAAATTTTGTCAAAATTCCAACTTTAAATGCTTATAAATTATAATAAAAATATGTATACCTATATATTTTTAATATTTTTCAATTGCTATTTTAACAATATATCAGGAGCATTGCATTAAATTTTTACACTTTTTGGCCAAACAGATAAAACTTAATTGATATTTATGGAAAAAAAAAACTAAAAAAATTGAAAACAGAAAATATCCGTAAACAGCTCAAAAATAGTCAAAATATTTTCTATATTATATAATTATATGGTGTATAGGAAATGCTAATATAAACATTCAGTGAAATTTCCTTGTTTCCACAGTTAT